AAACGCGAGAAAGTTTTATCGAATTCGCGAAACACGTATTTCTCGCCCCTCCAAAAAAATTTTACGCGCTATTTTTTTTTTCTTCTTTTTCCTTAAGATGAGACTCTCATGAATTAGGAATTATGACGCCAGGAAGTTTCTTGGGAGGGGGAGGAAGTAAAAGGGAGAAGGAGGAATTCGTGGAGGGAACGGAGAAAAATTGGCGTGCTTCACTCCCAGTAATTGGACAGCGCCGCCTTGTAGTTCCGAGGAAATCGCGATGCAAATGTGGCCATAGTCGAAATTAAAGGAAATCCTTTTTCTGGCGTTGCACGCCGGTGTTTCGAAGGAAACGAACGCAGTCGGGCGAACACTCTCCAACTTTTCGTTCGAAATAAACATTCATTGGGTCTCGCGGGGCTTAACACAACGGGATTCTCTTTTAAACGTTCGCCGCTGTACAATGTCGCGAAAGTTTTCATACCACCCCTTGACGTTCACTCGCGGATTCTATTACGCGATTTATCGAAAACCTTGTCCTTGTTTCTAATCTCTCTGAGCGTTGAATTATACAGTGACCGAAGTATACTTTTAATTTTCAGTGATACAGAGATAATTTTCCGACTTTGAAGTCGAATTGAGAATCACGAAATTGGTATATCATATTATATCGTTACTGAGTCGCAGCTGTTTAAACGTTCATCGATTCAAGTTGTTGAGTAAGTTTCAATTTATTTTATTAAAGTTGAAAACGAGTTTCACTCACTGATTTAACGTTATCGTTGTTGAATATTTTTTCATAAGTTTCCGTACTGCAATCTAATTAAAACATTGTCAAGCTACGCTATCGACATTGAACAAAAATTGTCAGCTTTGTCAATCGCGAGAGTCAGTCTAGAACGAAACGATTTCAACGAGACACAGAGCCACGTCATGCATCAACTTTTGAAATATTAACATTGGTCGAACTGTCCTGGATTTTGCCCTATTTGCTATTATCTCAGGTAAACTATCGACGTGTCACGTGTCGCGCAGCGCAGTCGCTGCGAACGACTAATTTTAAATCGATTTGCAAAGCCGGCGGGCGCAGCTCGCGTAAATAGACGTGTGCAGTAATATCTGATGAGGCAAATTCCTCGAAAGCCCGGGCCGCGAGCGTCAGAGGTAGGGAAAACAGAGATGGAAATGGAGTTGGGCGCATTCATCCTTCGATGCAACGTCCTCATTAACTCATTCACCAAGTCGTACATCTGAACTCGTATCGTCATCGGGATTATGATTACAGAGGCGCACAGGAGGCCTCATTTTCACCGATGACTTTCCGATCCACGTACATATACATATACGTTCATCTCCTCTGAAAGCTGCGTTACATCGGCTCGCATTCGCAGCGTTTCTTTGCAAGACGTAGTCAAGAAACACGTGCCGGCGCGCGATTGCCCGATTGAACGTGGAAAATTTCGAGAGCGAAGGGAAAATGGCGAAAAGCGACGACGTTTCGCGAGAACAATAGAACAGAAACTTTGCGTTTCGTGAGAATTATCTCAACTAAAATACTTTAACGCTATAGATATTGAATTTCATATAACTGTTATAGTAAATCAGATGCAGTTAACATCTATTGTATTGGCATTGCATGAACAAATGAACGCCATTAGAGATAGACATCAAATTCAATCAAATTCAACAATAGAGTTTATCATTTACTACTAAAGTTAATTAATGTTTGTATGCTTCAGCTCGTGCTCGACTCATTACTGAGCTTTCGCAACTCTAAAAGACATTTACCATATGATTGAATTTGTCTTGACAGCCGCCTTCATATGACAGAAAAGAAAGTAGCATTCTGTATAGAAAATTAAAGATCGCTTCAATTTTGTGAAAAATCATTGCAAACATCAACAGTTGTTAATAAACTGCTGTATTGGTTACGGTAAACTTTGTCCTCTGCCATTTTTGCCTTCTCCGAGAAAGACGCTGGACAAAAATAACGCGAACACCCTGTGTATTAATAATTCCAAGCTCAATAAGTCAAATGAAAATAGCAGTAATATGGGGAGAGAGATAAAATACGCGGGGGTAAATAAAGCAGCAAGCGTAATTAACTCATTAAGCAACCAAATCCGCCAAGCAATCAAATGTACCAATACATTATTGAAAACGTATAAATCACCGTTTTGTTCGTCATTGGTGGGACAAAGGGAGATTGAATGATGTGAATAATGGAAGAAATGAAAAAAATTTATTTTTTACACAGCGTTTACTTTTGTTTGTGTTGTGAAAAAAAAAAAAAAAAGAAAAAGAACTCAAGGGTGACGAAACCAGACGAAAGTGATGAAAATGGTGGAAGAAGAACGGGAAAAGTAGCCACGTGAAACGTGACCGGGAAGTGCAAAAGCGACATGATTGAAGGGGTACGATGAAATTTCGAAGGTTCTTTCTCGCTGCTGTTTCGAATAATTTGCCGAAAAGCTCGTTTCCATGGTGAAAAATAATAGAGGAGACAGCGAGGGAGAAAGGGGGAGGAAACGCAGGAAAAGAGGGCAAAGTGACCGCGAAATCAGAATGAGTACATCAAACACGAAAACCAACGTGAATAACGACGAGCGTACGATGGGTAAAGGAGAAACGCAGGGGATGAGCTCGCCGAAACGAGGTCCTTCTATAATTAAACGCGTTTGTTTATGATGTTTTTCAACCCGGGGAGATCCCGAGGCGCATCCCTGGCGCTTCGTCAAATCCTATTTCCCCTGTATCGGTAATTTTTCTCTCGTCGCTTCCGTTTCTTCCCCCTGCCGATACGCGCTCACCCGCGCGCCCTCCCTGTTTTCTCTTTTGATAAGTCTCGCGACGACGAACGTGGAAAAGAGAGAGAGAGAGAGAGAAAGAGAGAGATAGACAGAGTTTCCAGGAGCAAAAGTTTAAAGCATGATCCACGGAAAAACGAAGCGTCGCGGATGGATTAAGCAAACTAATTTGTAAGAAAGAAAAAAAGGAAGAAGGAAGGAGAAATAAGAGAGACAGAGAGAGAGAGAGAGAGAGTGAGTGAGATGGAGAAAAGAGGAAAGAAAGTTGGAAGCACGGGGGCAAAAATACGATTAACGTAGCAAAGAGGCCACCGGAGAATCAGGCCTGAAAGGAAAGAGCCCGTGACCGATTACGGAAGGAGCCGCGCCGAGATCACAGGGAAAAACAGGTGATTTTGTTTCTCCCTGTAATTAAACACTCTCGACTGTGTTTCTATTCAACGCTGGAGCAGAAAAGCGGCCGCGGGGGCAAAGTCAGATGGGAGATGGTCGGACATCGCCGCTCTACCTGGCATTAATATAAATGCGGACCTTTGTCATTTCCATTCATGATTCTTCAATATCTTCTCTCGCGTTTCTCTCTCTCTCTCTCTCTCTCTCTCTCTCTCTCTCTCTCTCTGGAAATTTTTGCAAAGCAACGCCGGGCTGCTTCTCCGCTCCGCGATAAAGGGAAAGGAGGAGCGACAGCTGGCTTGGCGGGCCGTGCAGGATAAGACAGCGAGAGCGAAAAGAAAAAAGAGAAAAAGAAAGAAAGAGGAAAGTATGTATAGTGGTACGGAAACAAGCACGCCTGGACGACGAGATGGAACGGGGACGTTCGTAGTTGTTGAAAAAGAAGATCTACTAGGGGAGGAAAGAAAAGACGAAGAGGAAGAAAGGAGGACGAAACGAAGACGCTGGAAAAAAAGCACGAAGGAATTTGCATTCGATTGTCAGGTATAATTGACCAGTTCGATTCGCACTTCTGTTGGAACGTCACGGAGGAAAATGTCGCTTTATTTTGGAATTAATAGGAATTCCGTCTTCAATTCTCCGATCTCCTTTGCCGTCACGTCGACCCACGTTTCCCGGCTCACATTCTTACGAGTGCGCTTCCCAGCAGCCTTGTTGCAGAAACTTGTGCCGTCGGGGAGACGACCTCGAGCAAATTTAGTCGAACGAAAAGAAGAAGGGAACGGGTAGGAAAACGAATGCTCGGAGAGAATGGCGAAAAGAATTGGGACGGAGAGAAAGGATGCAACGGATGCAACGGGGATAGCGGACGAGGATATTGATCAAAGAAACACGACAAAAGGGAGGAAGCGAAAGAAGCAATCCACGCGATTAGCTGCATTATCGAGTCCATTACTGTTACAACCCACAAATGCGCGTATTATTGAAATTAATAGTATCTATATATATGTATACGTTGTAGAACAATAACCCAAATCGTGGAAAATCAATAGTATTTCTCTCTCGTGTAACGAGCTACTCTTTTTATTTCTTTACAAACATACGTATATAGCATTATTCGATCGTTCGAAGATGATAATTAACATTAATGTGCTTCTGTTTTGAAAAGAACCCACTATGCAAAGAACAGTTCATTCACTCTATCGGCTCTATGTCGTTCGTTAGACACCATACGATCGTCGCACAGTTTAGAAAGAAAGAAAAAAAAGGACAAGAAATTGACAACGAGAAGGGAGCGCGCGATTTGAAGTCCGATTTCCTCTACGATCGGCGTCCCGCCTAACTAACGTTCAAATCGCGCCGCGATGCGACACGGACGAGATAAATTCTCCTGTTTCGCAGGGGGGGACCGAGTTCTTTCTGCAGCGGACCTTCGCGGACAGTCTTGACGCGCGACACTGCGCGCGAGCGGAGACGAGAGCAGCGAGCTACGGGACGAAAGGGCGAAAAACGAGACGGACCCATGGACGGTGGCGCGCGACCGAGAGAGAGGGAGAAACGGTGCGTTCGATACGCATGCGAGGTAAAGCATGTGCGCGGGCGCGTACAACTAGCGGAGGCTCTTTTCGATCGACGTAGAGCCGCGACTCTGGCAACGACGTCGAAGAGGAGGACAACGACGACGACGACGGCGGCGACGGCGACGACGATCCACGACGTCGGCGTCGGCACAGAGAGAGAGCTGGCATCCCTGCTAGGGGGTGGTGGTACTAGCGACAGTGTCACAGCGCGAGCTAGTCGACTCGGTGGTGGGGGCGCGAACCGGCAGTGGAGGGGATAGCTGGAGTAGTGGTGGCAGGCAGAGCGACAGTGGCGACGCTAACGTCGGCCGTGGCAGCTTAGCGTAGCGGTGTGCACCGCACGGCCCGGTGGTGCTGCTGATACAGTGTGGAACAGCGAAATCTCGCCGAGTGCGAGTGGCGCGCATTACGTCGTTCCCGGTCCACGGTCGAAATCGTTTCCCGATCGAACGTGTATTTTCCTCGTGCCCTTCGTACGCACGCACGCACGCACGCACGTAGACGCGAGGCGTTTGTCATCGTGAGTCAAAGTTTGAAATTCGTGAGTCAAGCGTAAGGGAGAATTTACAGAGAGGAGAGGAAGCAGTGCAAGGAGGGAAGAGAGAGAGAGAGAGAGAGAGAGACAAGTGCCGGACAATCGCGTGCGACCGTAACACCGTGAGTGAGTGATGTTGCTTTCGTCTCGACAGTGATCGCGCGTGTTCGCCGCCGATTGCGTGGCTCGTCACGAAAACCTCTACCTCTCAGTCTGTTTCACATCCGTCGTAGTTACGGGGCAGTGATTTCTGTTCGCTTTTTTTTTTTTCTTTCTTTTCCCTCCCCCTTCGTTTGAAGTGTGCTCTCTCGGTCGGTATTAACGTCGTCGCGTTTTCCGCGTTTCGATTGCGATCTATCGGTCGGTAGTGCGGATAACTCGATGATCGACTTATCGAGCTACGTTAAGGATGATGTGGCATGAGCAGTGTGCGAGAGACACGCAGGATACGGGAATGCAGTTGCCGTGAAGGCGAGCCAAGGGTGCCGCGAAGGATCTCTGCTGCCCCGGCGGAAAACCGTATTCCACGCACGGTGTTGGTGAAATTGGTGGATGATGCTGCTTGACAATCAGTTGCTATGATCGAGCCGCGGATAGTTCACGTGGAACACGATCATGATTTACCTTAGGCTGCACGTCGGGAGGAGTCTACGGTGCAACACGAATGCGAGATACTGGAACGTGTTCATCGTGCCGCTCTTCCCACTCTGGATTATCGGCGCATTTTGCGTGAAGGACAGTGAGTACAGTTTCTCTTTCTTGTTGTTCAACGAAAGTCTGTTGTCGTTGTCGTTCGTGGAATTACGACGCGTTCGACCAGCCGATGTTTACTAATCGCTTTCGGTCGTGTTTCTAAGGCGGCCCTTCGAGAAATCGAATTGGTCGACTCTATCAATTGAGACACACAGAAAATACTCTTGGATTAGGTTTGTTGTTTTCTTGCGACGAGCGAATTTGTGGAAACGAGGAAAGTTGTTCCTCGACGATTCAATGTTAGTTAATTAGTGCAGTTTATACGACGAAATTGAAATAATAATTGAGAATGGCGTTGATAAATTTGACTTCCGAAAGTCTCAAGTTCGGTCCGTCTCCGACTTTGCAACTGAACAAGTGCATCTCTGTGAACAGATGTTTTCTAACAGGAAAGCAACAATCATGCTGTCATTGATTTACCAAATGTCTGGATAAACGTAGTTGATTAATGTTTTGACGATGTAATAAAAATAAATTTTTGAAGATGTAAGGAAAAAAGTCGCGTTGCAGTTTCGTATAGTATTCATTAGGAGATTCATAGTTGTAATTCGTATAGTATTCATTGGGAGTAGAACAAAAATTTAATTAACACGGGCCTTAAAATTAATCACCCTCTTTTGTATTCATTCCGTTTCTCCAATTAATACGGGATAATATTTGAACTGAACTTTTTAACAGCGAGAGATTTTTAACAACGAACGGAACGGGAAGGTGTAATAAAATGGTCTCCGTTGTTTAACTGCCACCCTTGTAATGATAATTGAAAATTTAGTCTATTTAGTATGATGGAATCCGCGTCGAACATCTTTCACAAACGTGAGAACAGATGTTGGTGTTTTTCGCCGAGATGATTGACTCGAACTACTTCCAGCGTTCCTCGGCTATATACCATAAACTCGTGAATATTGAAATTTCGTGCAGCGAAATAACTCGATGCACATGTTGTATCGCGCATTGGGGATAGAAACTCATGTTTCATGCTCACGCTGCCTGCCTGTTTCGAACGTAATGGCCTACGGTCTATGTCCTTAATGCTATAGGTTTATCTTTCTCCTCCGCTCGAATAGCTTCTCAATACAAATACTTTCAAGACTCGTCGTACTCTCTATCCCGCGCGAGGCGAGCAGCTCGATCATTAAACTTTTAGCGCGATAAAATCGATAATCCACCGAAAGTCAGTATCCATCCAGCGCTCGAAATATACAGCGATGAACGAAATTATCGGCGTCGGCCAGGTTCTCGTATAAATTCGCTTTCTGATTGTAAATTTCGTATAAATCCTCGTACAATTCGCGTAAATCCTTGAACTTTGAACTTTGAACGGCAACCGAACCAAGAATTTCAATTTCTGGCGACTAGACTTTCTGCAGAATTCCAGTTTCTGCGAACTTTTGTGCATTTATAGGAAATTTCAACGTGCGTAATGTATTATAATGTTTTGATACGTAAGATGATTCTCTTTTTTTCTATCATATTCTCGATAACACATATATTTGGATGAAAATCCGCGGTCGTGACAATTAAATTCAAGAACAGACCTTTTAACACTAGAACCGGCGTAAAAAAAAAAAAAAAAGAAAAAAAGAATAGAAAACTTTACAATACAACGAAGCACACGAGCAGCTGTTATTTATACATTTTACGAAAAAATGATCTAAATCTCTAAACATACACCGTTTTACGTCTGCAAAATATCTAACAAAAATCACGTGTTGGTCATTTTGACCATGTTGGTAGTTATGGTGTTATTTTTTTCAAAATTGTCATCAATGTATTTTTGCAAGAGAAGTTCGTCTTGAACTTTCCCTCGCCTCGTGGAATATTTTGACAGGGACGGATCAAAGGGAAGGAAGATTGCTCAGGAAGCAGCGTTTCCTGCCGAAGGACAGGGATATTTCTGCGAAAGATCTTCTAGGGGATGAGCTTGATTGTTGCTTCTTACTTGATATTCCAGCAGTTTCGTTCGATAATCTCGTCGTCCTCGGCGTAAGACTTCATTTGCTTGGCGAGACGCGAGAGCTAACGTCGTTATCTGAAATTACTTGCCGAAAGAAAAGACCACCCTTTACAGCTCGGCTTTTGCATAAAGCTGGAGGCTCTTTCCTCCTACTCTCAGTAGCGTAATGGGATCGCGACAATCCGGAAACGCAACCGTCCGCCTCTCTCGAAACTTTGCCACTCGTTCGGAACGCGGCGCAAACTTTTCGCGCTTTGATACACAAGCTCCGCGTTACTGACCGAGAAAACTGTCAAGTTACTCGAGACTCGCGTTAACCTATCTGTAAGATGATTAGAATCGAATAGCTTCGTCGTGCGATCCGGCCGGATGTAATTGTTAATGCTTCGTTTTTAATGACCGGGCTGCCGATTTCTACGCACTTGAGGGAAATTTTCAAACACACGATATCAGTGAATTGTGAAAAATAATTCCTGCTACGCAAATATTGTTGAAATCTTTAGTTGTCGAAAGTCAGAGTTTTGTCATTGTAATATAATATAATATTGTCCTTGTAATACATAATTGCAATATAATATTGTAACGTTGTAGTTATGTTCGTATGATACGAGTCACTTACACTGAGCCTTCCATACGAACTATCCAAGATACAGTCATTTTTATACGTTTATGTAAGGTCCTAGTATTTTGTCATATTAAAATTATAAATTATGCAGAAAAATTCGCAGTCCAGTTGTAACTGTGTAATTTCGAACGCGTTGTTGAATGATCACTGAGGATCGTAACGGAAACGTAACGAGATTTAATCAGTTAAATTCAAGGATCACGTCGTAGATCGTTTTAAAATTTCGTAGTAAACGAAGTCGAGTATCCCGAATAGCTTGGGAAACAAGAATCGTGAATCACATTGTTATTTGTTGTTCGCTCTTCGTTCGTCTTGTTTTGCCAAAAGTTCAACAACCTGCCTCCTGGTGGCGGAGGATGAGTTAGTCTCGCCGTGAACGCCGCTTCAAAAGAAGCAGCCAGAGACACTTTGACCCCCGGCCCGATCGGGTTAATTAAGATGCCGCGAATCGATCAGCGTTCTCCACTTTAATCGGCGTGGAACGATCCGCCGGAAGTTCCGCCGCGCGTTACATATTCATCGTAACGGCAACGTTGGACGCAGTTGGACGCGCGCGCGTCCGCCCAAAGGCAACTTTCCGCTTTGACTCGGCTCACGGCGTCGTATTAAACCGTGCATCGGTTCTGTCTGGCTTTTAACCGGAAGCAAGACGAAAGTCGCGCGATTGGGTTTTGCTCTTCAGTTATTCGTATTCAGCTTATTTCTTCAGTGAAATCCGCCGTGTGCGGTGAAAAGATGAGAATTATTACAGATGTTTGCCAGTAATTCTCTTCGAAACGAATTAACAATTTCCTTGTTGGTTGAATAGTTTCAATTAATAGTTGAATTGACTGTTTAACCATTTATAAACAAATTGACTGTAGTCGTCTTGAAAGTCGTCTTCTCTTCTGAGCTACGTTCGCGTACAGTGTCCAATTCTGTTAGATTAGCTTCTATAATCTTACTGGACGTTGAAAATCGCCGCGTTTATTTTGTTTCTATACTTCATACGGTGAAAAATGAACGACTGGATTTTCGAGACAACATAGAAGATAGGATGCTGAAGCCTGTTGATATTTTCATTGATCAAACAACTGTTTCGAGGTAATGCTTGTTGTGAGAGAAGTTTTCATGGGATCTGTTTTACATTTGAAGATGCTTCCACTAGTACTGATCGAGTGGTTATTAAAATATTATAATTATCTATTCCTTTTCAATCTTGGTTTTCGAAGTATTTCTTTCTTTTCTTCATGTCAGACCATAGAAAGTTTCAAGAAATGTATGTTCATGAAGAATGTTTCAAGGAATGTATCTACATATTTTTTAATAAGACTTAAAGAATAAAAAACAATGTCAACAATTATACCTAAATTTCAATAATGTTATAAGTCAGATTTGAAATTTTTAAGAAAAATATTTTTTATTGTTAAATAAAATATAAAAACATGAAAATAAACTTGACTATTTGACTCTTTATAGTTGTAAGAAACTGAAGCTATTTTTTTAACTTTTTTAAGATTAGGTTTCTTCCTGGCTGAAAAAATTAAAAAACATAGAATCAGTTTCGCACCAGAATTTTTTCATAGTCAGATTTACAAGCATTATCTTACCTTAATATTTTGTCCACAAGCTATTTGCTTAGATAATAGCTCTAATACGTCTTGGCACACTTTCAAACAGTCTTGAGCAGAAATCAGATGGCATTTGATTCCACTGTTCTATAACACGAGCATGTAGTTCCACTACTGAGCTAGAAGGAGACTTGTATGCGTCTAGAATTTCTTTTTCAATATCCCCCATAGATTTTCGATGGGGTTTAGGTCAGAGCTTCGTGCAGGCCAATCTAAGATCGAAAATGCTTGAGTAGTCAGCTAATTAGTTACACTTTTCGCTGTATGTTGAAAAACGATTTCTTCTACAGCGAAGGATATATCTTGCATAGAATTTGGCAAATGTCTTTATACATATATTGATTCATAATCCCTTCAATTTTGTGCAATGGACCAACACCATCTGCCGTCATACACCATATGTATGCATATATACGTATATACGCATATGCATACGTATGTTGTGTATGACGGCAGATGGTGTTGACCCATTGCACAAAATTGAAGGGATTATAAAGCAATATATGTATAAAGACATTTTAAAAGAACATTAGCCAAATTGTATGCAAGATATGCCCTTCGATGTAAAAGAATACATATATACGTATATACGCATATGCACACATGTGTAAAAAGGAAGAATCGTGCCGATTTGCCGCCTCTGGAAGTCACCGGTAGCCAAAGGTTGCGTCTCCACCTCCCTGCCCCCTCTTCCAAAAGATTTAGTGCTTCGTGCTAAGTCGTCGCTGGCAAAAAAATGTCGGGGCACGTGAAAATTGCTCGAACTTCGCGACGCTGTACACCTACGAATTGCG